CAGTTCACTCATCACATAACAGTTTCAATTAGAGTTCTAGGCAGTAAAAAGAACAACAACAACAGTACACCTCATATGCAATTGAAACTTCTTTTCAGCCTCAGGATCATCTTTGTTTGTGTAAGGATGGAGCTTCTTTGCAAGCTGCAGAACATAGAGAAAAAAAATTGAGATGGTAGAAATGGCAGAGGGAAAGAATTATTTTAGACAAACAATTCATGATTATCAAGAGTCTTTGAAGAATTTGTGTCAAGAAAGAATGAAGGATAAGTAAAGGGAACTGTAAGGAATATGTTAGCAAGCCTAGAACTTGTGCAGACATTAAAATATTATAAGAGAATAATACATTCTGATTCTGGTAAAAGAAAATCATAAAAAAGTAGCAAGTAAAAAATTAAACAGCAAAAGGTGAAAGACATATTTCTGTAATATATAATGTAAATAAGTGATTGCATATGTAAGATCAACATGATTTAAAACAAACTCTTCCTAGTCCAATTCAAACAATTATTTTTAATATCGCTACTTGGGAAATGACTGCAGTATCCACATACTATAAAGAAAATGAGAGTTTTGTAAGCATGTGGGAAAGACATGAAATTAAAAAAGAATGTTATAATCTGATCCCTTTTAACCAGGAAAGATACAAGAAATCATAAATTTTTACCAAGAAAGGATTCAACATTAATCCGGATTCTCCAACAAGTTTCCATCAACATTATTCAATAGATTCACCAATGTTTGCCACTGCTCATCATTAAGTCCACTGACAGTAGACTTATCATCATTTGTTATCATGGCATTAAATTTTGGTCCTTGTGTTGAAGCTTGTGCTACATTAGCCTTAGTCACTGCACCACGTCCTCTACCGCCAACGGTCTCTCCTTGTTGTCCAACTCTACCACGACCACTTCCTCGTCCAATTTCTCGAGGTCGTTCTCCCCACCACTCTAGGTAACCAATTAATTGGAAACAACTCTCTAAGTCATGCCTTGAACGATTACAGTTACTACAGATTACATTTTTGTCCTTCACTTCAATTTTGCCACATGATTTTCCTCCAGTTTGTACAACAAAGCTCATTATCTCATTGCGTTCCTCCTTTCCTCGGGTGATACTTCTCATACGTTTTTCCTACACCAAGGTTAAATAGATTTTATTCAAGCTTGGCAATGGATCCAGAGCAAGTAAATTCGATCTCACTATCCCATAAGTGGTTTCATCAAGTCCTATGAGAAATTGATGGATTTTCTCTTCTTCATGTTTATTTTCTAGCTTGAATGCTAAATTGCAAGTACATGTAACACATGTACATGTAGGTATCTGTTCATGGTTTGCTAACTCCTCCCATAGCTTCTTCAACCTGCCATATTAAGCAAAAATAGTCATTCCTTTCTGTTTACATTCAACTAGCTCTACTTTAAGTTGCTGAATGTGTGGCCCATTCGCTACTGAGAAAAGTTCCTTGATGTCTGTCCACAAGTCCTGAGCCACCTCCATCTGCGATATAGTTGAGCAGAGAGATGGTTCAATGGTGTTTATTATCCATGACACCAATAATGAGTTGTTGGTCCACTAATCTTCAAGATCTAGTGATTTTTTTGCTGATCGTTTGATTGTTCCATCTATGAACCCAAACTTCTTTCTTGCTCTCAATGCAGTTCTCATGGAGTGAGCCCACTCATCATAATTCTCTCCTTTCAAATGAACCAACGTCAAGAGGCTTCCTGGATTGTCACTTACAGTGATGTTATAAGGTGAGATCGTCTTCCTTGTTACTACTTCTTCTCTGTTGTCTTTGTTCTTGTTGTCTTCCTTAGCCATGATGGTAGTGATAGCCCAGACAGTGCTCTGGTACCATATAAAGAAGAATTTGTGATGCAATTTTGCTCTGCTTTATTGTTGTCCAGACATATATATATGTAACAATGTTCAGAAATTGCTGCCTCAATTCTAACTAATTACGAGATAACTATTCCTAAATATAATTTGTACATATTGCTATCCTATATTAATAGATATGACAGGATATTTATAGTAAATATGGAAGATACTAAATCAATAATTACAAAATAAAAGATTTTGCAAGATCTCAATAATCCCGATTGCGTAGGATCTCCATAATCCCAATATATATTTAAAAATATTTATGCATAATAATTTTAAATGTAATTCATATATTTAAACAGTATTTATTTATATATACAATTTATTATAAAAATTTTAATTATATATGATAAGTATGTTTGTGCATTGCATAAACTAAAATACTAGTATATTTATCAAGGTGTAATATTTACTATTCACATAGAAATTGCTCAACCACCAATCAATTTCTGACCTTAGTTCTCCATTCTATTTTTTATATTATTTTTGCATTCAGAAATTAGTTAACCAGTAACCAATTTCTTAGCTGCATTTTTTTAGCAATTTCATATATTTTTTGTAATGTTAGTATTTTTATGTACAATATACATTTTTACGTAATTTATTAGCTTAAAAAATAGTTAACATAAGTTAATATATTTAAATAAATTCATAATTTTTATTTTATAGCTTAAAAGTTTTATAAGAAGAGATTAAAAATAATTTAAAGTGCATGATTTCATTATACAATACAAGTTAAGGAATATAAATATAGTATCAATTTTTTTTTTAAAGATCAATTACATGGTCAAAATATCTATAAAAAAAAGATAAATAACTTCACACATATTTTAAAATCAAATTCATAATACACACTGCTTATAAGTCAAAATAAAAATAAAAACAAATAAATAACATTCACACGTACTTCCAAAATCAAATTCATAGGTAACAACTAATGGAGCCATCACATGAGCCGGAGAAAGTGATATGCATTTCCTAGTGAAAGAGATAGTTAACCCAAGATAGGGACAACCAACTAGATAATTCTTGGTCATATTAGATAAAATGTGGTATGATTGTGACAAATTTCAAAAATTACATTTGTTTAGTTTACATATCACAACTGGTGCAATACCCTTTAGATTTGATGTCTCAACAATTCCACTTCACACTCATATGATGATGCTTCACATAACTCTTCATTTCTCATAACCCTCTCTAAGCTATTACACCTATTATTTATGTTTTTTTATTAATTATATTATTTTTTTTAAAAAATTCATATTATTCTTTTAAATCTCATTAAATTCTTTCAAATCTTATAAATTCTTAATGTATAAATCTATTAAAATTCACGTTCCAAAAATCTTGATTATAAATGTCTTTTAATTTTTTTTTAAAAGTTACTATATTCCTATAAAATCTTTTAAAATTCATAACATCTTTTTATTTTAAAATAGTCCAATGAAATTTTAATCTTATACATCTCCATTAAAAAAGAAAGTGTGCGACTAAAAATAAATAAGAATGAAAGAATAAAAGGAAAATGAATGATAACTGAATCGAAGATAAAGATTCAGTAGTTTAGAAGATAAAAAGAGTTATTAAGATAAAAGATCCAATAGTATCTTTTAATGTTATCGGTAGATGGTTGTAGTATCAAAATGGTGTAATTTATTTTTTTTAAAAAAATCCCAAGATGGGTAAATTTAAAAATAAATTCTCAAATAAAGTAAGTTGTGGTTGGCAAACACAACTTTAAATTTTCTTTAAATGAGAAATAAATAAGAATGAAAGAATAAAAGGAAAATAAATAATAACTGAATCGAAGATAAAGATGCAGTAGTTTAGAAGATAAAGAAAAAGTTATTAAGATAAAGATCCGGCAGTATCTTTTAATGTTATAGAGTTGTATCAAAATGGTGTAATTTTTTTTTTTTTTATAAAAAAACTCCCAATAAATATTTTTAAAAATAAGTTGTAGTCGACAAACATGACTTTCAAATAGACGTCGTGTTTCACAAATAATTCTTTAAATTTTCTTGTCTTTTTACTAAACTCGTGCTTAAAACACGACTTTAGCTTTATTATTATTTTTTTCATTTAAAAGTCGACCACACCTCTTTTTTTTTTTTTTTTACATCAAAATATTAATTTTTAATGTTTTTTTTTTCAGAAAAATGTTTTTCGAAAACACAACTTCAAGTCTAAAAAAAATTAGTAAAAAATGCTTTTCTAAAACATTATTTTTTACGGGGTGACAAAATGGGTCAATCTGGCCCATCAAAAACAACCCGGGCCAAACTGACCTGCCATTGAAAAATGAGTTAGGAATGTTGGCCTGCCCTGCCTAAAGGGTGGGCGGGTGGGTGTGTCGATGAACCAAGCTGCATACCACTAAAATAATTACAAAACAAATGTATCTTATGTTTAAATAAAAAATTACTACAAATAAATAAATATAACCACATGAAATAAAAAATGCATACATATTGTACATAATATATGTTCAACAAAAACAAATTATAAACTTACAATAAAATCAAATAGAAATTAGTTCATTTACAATAAAATCAAAACCAAATTACAAACTTACAACTTACTATTTTTTTAACAAGAACATCAAATGCGGGCTGACGTGTTGTAACAGGACAGTCCACCATTTGATCTGATGAGTTGATAGACTTCGCAAGACGACCTTAACGAGTTAGAATGATGGGCTCAACCCGTCAATTTTTGACGAACCCACAGACCATGATCCATTTTACCACCCTACTATTTTCAATAAAAAAAATTAAGATTTTTTAAACTTTTAAGGTTTAGAATTTTCCTAAATCTTAAACCCTAAACCCTTAAAAAGTTACATTTTCCAAACATAACTTCATCTTATTTTGGAAATATTTTAAAAATTTACCTATTTTTTTCAGTAATCCATTTTTTAATTATTTTAAAAATCACTCCATTTTATACAAAAGCATATTTAGAGGTAGTAAACTTGTATGTTTAGATATTATTCCATACACAATTTTGGTTCATATTCATTCTTTGTATATATATTCACTGAATTTGGCCGTGTTTCTGTCGAGATTAAGAACAGTAGTAGTAGGCTAGTAGCAGCTATCATCGACCAATCCAAGACAAGAGTCGAAGTTCACTCTATAAAGCATTGGGACACACTTTCTTCACACTCCTCGGAGTCCGTGAGAGTCAATAGTTGTTAAAAGTTAAAACCGACATTACCGAATGGAAGAAGCGGCGTCGTCGGAGCGGCGAAGCTACTGGCGGTGGAGCAAGCGCGACTTCTTCCCGGAGAAGTCATTCGCGAGCGGCGAGTCGTACCGCGCAGCGCTGGCCGCCACGTGTCCGCGCCTGAAGGACCGTCTCCTGAACCGGTCGAGCGACTCGCACGAGCTGCTGGTGCTCCCACGTGCGAGCGAGCACCGCATGACGCGCTGCCTCACGTGGTGGGACCTCACGTGGCTGGCCTTCGGCTCCGTGGTGGGCTCCGGCATCTTCGTCGTCACCGGCCAGGAGGCCCGCCTCAGCGCCGGCCCCGCAATCGTCCTCTCCTACGCCGCCTCCGGCTTCTCCGCCCTCCTCTCCGCCTTCTGCTACACCGAGTTCGCCGTCGACGTCCCCGTGGCCGGCGGCTCCTTCTCCTTCCTCCGCATCGAGCTCGGCGACTTCCTGGCCTTCGTGGCCGCCGGCAACATCCTCCTCGAGGCTCTCGTCGGCGCCGCCGGCCTCGGCCGCTCCTGGTCCTCCTACTTCGCCTCCATGATCTCCTCCAACTCCGATTTCTTCCGCATCCACGTCCCTTCCTTCAAGCAAGGCTTCGACATGCTCGATCCCCTCGCCGTCGCCGTCCTCCTCATCGCTAACGGCATTGCCGTTAGCGGCACTCGCAACACCTCCATCCTCACCTGGCTCAGCTCCCTCGTCACGGCGCTCGTCATCGCCTTCATCATCGTCGTCGGCTTCCTTCACGGTAAAGCCTCTAACCTAACGCCGTTCTTCCCTTACGGCGTCGACGGCGTTTTCAACGCCGCCGCCGTCGTTTACTGGTCCTACACCGGTTTCGACATGGTCGCCACGATGGCTGAGGAAACCAAGAAACCTTCTCGAGACATTCCCATTGGATTAATCGGTTCCATGGTTATGATCACTGTTATATACTGTTTAATGGCTCTTTCGCTTGTGATGATGGTTAATTACACTGAAATTGACGTGGACGCTGCTTATTCCGTTGCTTTTGTTCAAATTGGGATGAATTGGGCTAAGTATCTTGTTAGCATTTGTGCTTTGAAGGGGATGACTACTAGCTTGCTTGTTGGTTCCATGGGCCAAGCTAGGTACACCACCCAGATTGCTAGGTCACACATGATTCCACCCTTCTTCGCTTTGGTTCACCCCAAGACGGGGACGCCGGTCAACGCTACGTTGTTGACCACTATTTGTAGCTCCGTGGTGGCTCTCTTCACCAGCTTGGATGTTTTGTCGAGTGTGTTTTCCATTAGCACGCTTTTCATTTTCATGCTTATGGCGGTTGCTTTGCTTGTGAGGAGGTACTACGATAGGGAGAGAACGGAGAAGGGTGAGTTGGTGAGGGTGCTTGTGTGCTTGTTGGTTGTTGTTGGTTCCTCTGCTGTTGGCTCTGTGCTTTGGCACACTGGCAAATTGGGTTGGGTTGGGTATGTTGTGGCTGCTTGTGTTTGGTTTTTGGGGACATTGGGGATGAGTTTTCTTCCCAAGCAGAGGGCTCCTAAGGTGTGGGGGGTTCCCTTTGTTCCGTGGCTGCCGGCGCTGTCCATCGCTACTAACCTCTTCCTCATGTGCTCTTTGGACTCTCAGGCCTTCTGGAGGTTCTTGATTTGCACTGCTGTAATGTTTCTCTATTACTTCTTTGTGGCTGTTCATGCCACTTATGATGTGGATCATCAAGAGGAAGAGGAAGTGGATGCTACCAAACAATAGCGACTTTCAAGGGACAAAGGAACAAAACTTCTTATTTATTGCTGCTGAGCCTGCTAGTGCTAGCTGCTTTATAATGTTGGCGTTGCATACTTGTCAAGATGCAACTTTAAGCACAAGTAAGAGTTCTCGATTCTGTGGGTTTGTGAGGCTCTGCCATGATGCTGTTTTGCTCAGCATTCAATTGAAATTAGAAATGCTGGTTGTATAGTTCATTGGGTAGTGTGGATAAATTAGTAGTCTGTGATTTGATTATTGATGCACAATAATATTTGAAATGGGAGGAACTCTTGAGTCTTGATATAGTTAGGTTTGAATGAAGTTTTGCTAAATGTGTTTGTTTTGGGGCCATTACACTTTGCAAAGCATGTTAAGTGGTTTATGTCTATGATTTCTCAATCCAACGTGCTCTAACATCAATAAAACATATATTCGTAGGTCCTTTTTAAAGTTCATATCGTCGTTTAGCTTGGTACGGTGTGAGATTTATCTCCAATGCTTTATATTCTTACACTTAATTGTGGATAATGTTGGTAGCATTATCACCATTGAGAATAGGCAGATGCCGTTTAATCGAACAATTCTTGATATCGAGATCTATATTGCATACTACTTGAGCTGATAAAGTAGTCTGGTTTGTTTAAACTATCATCATTATCAGTCTTATTGTGACATCCTATTTTGATAATTGTTCTTAAAATATTTAAGTTTGATTCTAAGAGCATGTGCCACTCAACTGGAAAGAAAGAGAAATAAAAAAAAAATTGGAAAAAGCCAGGCTTCTTTTAGTGATTGTGGAGAATTCAGAAGGAGAGGCCTTGAAAATTCTGGGAATTGGAAACTTGTGTTCATGAGAGCTCTCAGTTGGGTCATCCATTTTTTGTTTGTTGAACTTTTATATGCGTTATTTGTTGCACTGGAGTAGTTGATCACTTCAGAATCGTTGTCCTATTTCCACTCGTTACATGAATGAAATTTCATGATTCTTGAAAATACCTTTCTGATTGTGTGTGCCTTTTCAAGGCTGGCTCCTCTTAAGATTCAAGTTCTCTTTAAATCGTGCACAACCTGTATGATAGAATTTCTGAACCATTGTTTTCCTCTTGGCAAAATATCTACCATTGTTTCCATCTTCAAGTTTAATGGCCGGAAATGAAGCATTAGGATGTAGGGCAAGATGTGGATGCATCCTGATTCATGTTTGTGTTTGTTATTTTTTAATCTTAGCGATTAGTATTGGTTGGTCAATTATATACTTCATGGATGAAAAGATTTTAGACGTTATCGGATGCAAGGACCAGTTATCATTCCAATTACCCAACTGTATCTGCAGCAACATTACCACCTCAAAGTCTATTAAAACAACACTAATTTCAGCTCAATACACCCTTTAAAGAATTATAATAAAAGTTATTTTTTTTATTATTACAATGCCGGTAACAATATTGCTCACTCTATCAAGCTTAAATGTGTTTTTAATTATTTAATCTTTTAAATTTGAACACAATTTGTCTAAATTTCCTAAATTTAAGGTTATTTATTTTAGTCTCTTGTGATTTTGGAAGTGTTTATTTTAGTCCTCAGGGACACATTTTATTACTGACAGGTAAATTCAGTCGATTCTACGACAATTAGATCTGCTGTGATGTTTTTACATAATGATATTATCTATGAGTTTTGTGTAATAGATTTAGTGATAGATGAGTACTGTGATAAATTTATTAATCGTGTTTGATCAAAAGAACTGAAATTATTTTTTAAAAAATTAAAGAGATAAAAAAATATTTAAATTTAAGATATCAAAATTAATTTATTTTATTTTTGAGAGATTAAAAATATATTTAATTTTTTTTTTTTACAAGAAAAGCATTCTCAAACTTAAGAATTCGTATTGGTATAATTTCTTTGTAAACAAAATATACCGCAAAGAAAAATTAAGAATTAAAAGAAGTGTATGATAAAATAGTTGATATGACGAAGAGAGATAAAAATAACAAATATTGCATAGATAATATAAGATTTGTGTGATTGAGTTATATTTTTTATCATGCATAAATATCTTCATTTTTAACTAAATTTTTTTATTTATAAGATTCAAATTTGATATTTTATTTAAGAAAATTAAATCTAATACATTTCAAACTAATAATTTATTGATGAACGATCAATTATTTAACTAATAGTAATTGAATATAAAACAGAATATGGATCTTATCTTCAAAAATCAAATATTATCCATGTGCATCATTTTTATATTTATTTTATTTTTTAACTTTTTTTTTATCTTTTTGGATATATTATTTGTATATTTTTAATTTTCTAATTCTTTGAATATTTATTTTCATATTCATTTTATTTTCTTAAAAGGATTGTTAATATCATAAATTTAGAATATAATTTAGATAATTAAAAATATTCATTATCACAAATTTTAATTATAATATAATATATTATAAAAGTATTTATTTATAAATGTTAGTCAAGTAGCCTCAATTAACTTAAGAGGGGGTAAATTAAGTTTACCAATTTTTCTTCTTTTATGAGTTTTAGAGATGTTTTCTTATAAATTCAATTACTTAGACAAATTTGTGTGTATAAGTTAATGATGATGCAAACTACTCAATCATAATTAATAACAAGTAATTAAAAATTAAAAGAAGAATTGCAAACTCGTTTTATACTGGTTCGGTCAATCCTGCTTATGTCTAGTCCTCAAGTCTCCAACTTGAGATTTCTACTATTTTTGTAACTCTTACAAGACTTGAATCCTCCAACACCTCGGAACACCCTTTCCTTGTGTTGAGATTCAAAAACCAACAAGGAGAAAAACCCTTTCTCCTTTACAGATCAAATGATCAAGTAGATATTACAGAATGACTCTCTTGTAGAGTAGATTTTACACTTTTATGATCTTGATGAATTCTTTAGAAAAATGCAAATGAATTTTGACCAAGATGTTTCTGTATATGATTTTTTAACAACAGAGTTCGTAACCTTCTTTTGAAAAATTATAGGTATTTATAGACAATTATTTCTTAGGTTGTGTCTTTTCATGAAGAGATGTAACTCTTTATAATTTTTCAGAAAAGATACTCTGGTAATCGATTACAAGACTTGGTAATCGATTACAACGGTTTAAGTTCAAAAAATTTGAAATGTTGTATTTTTAAATTCAAATTTTTGAAGTTCTCTCTTCTAGTAATCGATTACAATGTCTGGTAATCGATTACCAGAACACATTTTGTATTCTAAATTTGAACTTTGAAGTTTCCTTGCTCTGGTAATCGATTACATAAGTTGGTAATCGATTACCACACAAATATTACTATATTTGTTACACAAGCTTTTGATTATAGGAAACTTCTAATTTTCAGTCAAAAATATTTTTATAAAATCTTTTTGAACACTCTTTTTACCTTCTTTTTCAAAAACTTATTCTTATATTCAAAAAGAATAAATTTAGATTTTCTTGAAATCCTTATTTTAATGGCCAAGTGAAATTTACAATTTCTAAAAGTTCATTTTACATATCAAGCTAAGTAGTCAAGACTTATCTAGTTATTTCTTGAGATTTTGTTTCTTAATCAACTTGCTTTAACTTGACTTTTTTATTTTCTTCAACGTTTTAACATCATCAAAACTTTATACATACATTCTTCCACAATAAAAAAAATTGTTATATAAAATAAATAATCATATCGGGCATTGCACGTACTAAAAGTCTAAAATAGTGCTAGTAACATGTAAAAGTTTTTTTTTTTTATTGATACCTATAAAAGCTCATAAGAGAAACGTTACTGATAATTAAAGATAACGTGTGAGATAAACGTTTTGACAAAAGTAAATAAATAAATCAAACAAGATCTAGCACATGTGCATTCACGTTTTACTTCCCCCAAGGACATGTCATTATTAAAATATATTAATGATTATCTATGCATGGGTAGGGTACCTTAATAAATACTCCTAATAATTTAATTATATAATCATGAATTTTTTATTCTTGGTGTTCATGTGTTAGGAGACACACTTTGCTTGTCCGAGCTATCGCTGTTGCGGTCGCGGTCCTAGATCTAGATCTTCTGTTGTTATTTTATTGTATTTATTGTCAATCTCTTTATTTGATTTAGTTTAACATGGATGTGTAGATTGGCCATGATGGGTTTGTAAACCAACAAAGCTCTGGTTTTGGAGGCAACAGTGGCTTTAATCCATTTGAGCAGATATTTCGTGACCATGTAATGACTTACTAGCTTCTATATTCTTTTTTGCATATAATATGTATGAATTTTTCTATATCTCACTCCATAGTTTATGGCTTCTTTGGCTCATTATTTAAAAGGTCATGTATTGTTAGGAAAGGAGGCGTGCCTGTTATTTTTGTCTGACACACCAATTAGAGCTTCTGAACTGAGTGTTGCGTGTGGGATTTATATATTGCAACTTCAATCTAGAAATGAGATACTAAAGTTTTAGTTGTTGTGTTTATTTTTGAAATATCTAAATCATGGATTCATATTATATTATCTTGACATGGAATTGGTTAATGAATATGTAGGATTCTCTTGGAGGAAACAGCAAAACTGTTATGATAGGTACAATACTTGCTTGATGGATTTTGAAAATTTTACACTTTTAATATCTCATGTATCATCTAATCTGTTTGGAACACTGCAGCATGTGTCAGTCCAGCTGACACCAATGCTGAAGAGACATTGAACACTCTGAAGTATGCTAACCGTGCTCGCAATATTCAGAACAAGGCAGTTGTAAGTGCTAGATTTTAGTGTTCTTGATGTTTATGTTTTGTTTTGTTTCATTTTGTCCCTTTTTCTTAAAATGTGAGTGACAGTTTTCAAGTTTCTTATATTTGATGATTTTAATTTTTCTTATAGATCAATCGTGACCCAGTGGGAGCTCAGATGCAAAGAATGCGAAGTCAGATTGAGCAATTGCAGTCTGAGCTTCTATTTTACAGAGGTGATGCTGGTGGGGCATTCGAGGAACTTCAGGTACATCATTGTTTTAGGAAGTTTATGAAGTTGATCCGTCATTTCCCTGGTATAGGTTTCTAATGTTCTTTTTTCCCCATAGATTCTTAAACACAAAATATCCTTACTAGAAGCAAGCAATGCAGAGCTACAGCGGGAGCTTAAAGAACGTCGAGTAACTTGTGAGAGTTTATCACAACGTGCTTGTGATGCTCAGGTCTTTCTCTAATCCTTTATGTTCTCAATTCTTATAGAATGTTGCGTGTCTTACCAAAAAATAAATTTTGTTAGTTGTTTCCAATGTTGCTTCTGTTTTATTTGCCATCAAGTGTCTCATTCAAGGTGTTGAATTTAGGTTGAAAAGGACCAACTGATCTTGAAAATCGAATCAATTCGTAATGGTAAATCTTGGGATGAAATTGAATCAAATTCAAATCAGGTTTGAACTCATCAAATCATTTTGCTAATGTATAATTACAATTTTCTGATGAAGCAATTCATCAC